CTATTACATCACCTTCAGCTACAGGCAGAGCTACTAGAGTTGCAGCAGTCACAGTTGTGGTTGGACCCTTACTCTAGGGGGAAATCTAGCACAATACCACCTCCACCGTTTACTTTCTGTTAGTACCACTTATAGTTAGTGAAAGTATGCATATAAGGAAAGTACTGTTAGAAATTCATCCAAGGCAGGACATGTGTGGTGTAAGAATAGCATAGAGCCCAGTCACAATTCCAGATTTGTCCTTAATGATTGGTCATGTAACATCACATGACCAAGTATGATAGATGCATTCTACAATGGCCTCAGCGGCTGTCCTGTGCAACTCTACTGCAAAGGATCTTTTGATGGCACTTCTCCACTCTGCACATTGATTTTATTCTACTGCAGTCAGGTAACAATTACAGGTCTTGTCCTCCCTCAGTTCATGCATGGACAGTGATAGGAGAAGCAGAAGATGAGTGAGTTCATCTCACTTTTATCCTGCCATCTCCTATCATTCATATTGCACTGCAACACACCTAATTGGCTTCTTGTGCTCCTTCCCCCTCTCTGCTGTACAGAGACTGCAATGGGCCATGTAAAACTCAGATATTTAAACTCCTTGCATTAAAAAATTATATTAATATGTATTTTAGATCTGACTGGAGTTCAGCTTGCAAGGGAAGCCAATCAGAATTAATACTGTTGAAGTCTGTCATGTACATGATGGATTCTGGTTGGCCGTTATGGGTTACTGAACTTAAGAATTGCCTTTCATTCTTTAAAAAGGCTGATAGTATTTTAATGATTTTATCCTGAAACAATTTTTTTTTTTTTTTTTTTTTTTACACAAATCAGAAATCATGGTTTATTTGCCCTTTAATAAATAATGTAAATACATGTCTTTTTTATTTGTTTTGTTTTTAATCAAAATTCGAAGGACCGAAACTGTAAAATTGTTTCAGTAACTGTAGGTGTATTGTTAAAGTTTTGGACTCATTTTCTCCATGCCATTCTCTAACAGATGGTAGGATAGCTTTGCTGTGGTCTCCCAGGGATTAGACACTTAGCTGTGTTAATGAGATGAGTGAATAGAGGGTCTTTTGAGATGATGTTATAATCGTTATTGCGTTTTATATTTCTCAAGACGTCCCTTTAAACTCTTATATTTAATCCAACCTCCCTTACAATTAAATTGGTCTTTCATTGCTAATTTCAAATGTTATATTACATAAGATTAATGTTACACTTTAAGTAAGTTACCCTGTTGCATTAAGCTTGCTCCTTTAAATTATAATTTATAAAAATAATGCAAAAGAGATAAAAATATATGTCGCAATGTACTGCAAAAATGTGAGGTATTCAGATATACCGGTAATAAAGGAAAATTAACACAATAATTGTGATGTTTTATTTGAATTATATATTATTGAGGTATGTATAGGGACCCTGCAATAGGCAATAGTATCCCCAGCTGCTGGTGCTGCTGGACTGAGCATAACATTGTTATAGTTCTGCTTTCGTTGGGTTTCCCTCCAAATTAGTCTTTTTGTTTGCTTCTACCTCCTGTTGGGGAGTGCCCCTAGCAATAGTGTGAGAGAAAAGAATGTACAGCATGTACAGAATGTGAGCTTTGGTTTTTCATGTCTCTCAACCACTAGGAGGTTTGTTGCTAGTGGAGTATGCTGGGAAAATATATCAATATTTGGGGTGACCCTACAGAAAGGCTCTTGCCTCCCAAACATTTCCTTGGAAAGGAGGCTGTGTGTTGGAGGTCTGTGCCTCCCAGTCCTGCTGCCTGGGTTGTGCCTAGGGTTGGAAGAGAGGCCAGTGTGTGACCTGAAATAGTTCAAGCTACCTTGTTGGAGCATCTGACAACTGTCCTGCTGAAAAGTATCCTAGAGAGCTGGGTACAAGTTGCTGCCAGTGGACATTGCAGGGGGGGGATTCCAGTCTACTTGCTTCAGGGTAAGTGTACTGTATGTAGATGCTGTACATTCTGAAGAGTACAGGGTTCCAATTTTGGCTTAAATAATCTTCTTTATTGACTGTGAGTAGAGGTCTGTAGTTCACATTGGTCACTTTTGAGTATCCTATGCCTTAACCCCCTTTATACCTGAGTTTATAGTGCTTACTACATTTAAACTTACTAAAGTGACTGGAACCCAGGTTCTTCCACCCCACAGTGAAGGATGCTACCCTAAGTTTTGAAATGCTAACCCGCCAAGGCACCCAGGGGTTCTTTGCCACTGCCTAGGAGTAGGAAGGCTGTATATGTAAGGAATACATCATGTGATATACACGTTTTGTATAAAATATATAGAAAAGTATTTATATGATTTGCAAAAAGGTAATTCTGTTGCAGAAATGTTTGTTTTCAGTACCATGATGCATATATACAAACTGAATTGTTTACATGCAAAATAATTGTGTGTCTTGGTGGATTTCATGGTGCAGAAGAGCTATGTGTAATTCAGATTTAAGTTTAAATATTTAGATACAGTGTATTATATTGGAAGGTTATACAAGGGGGTTGATTTGCTAAAGGCAAATAGGCTGTGCACTGCAAGTGCACTGAAAGTGAATTTGCTCTAGATCTGAAGGGAACTTGCAAGGAAAATAATAAAAACATAATTTTTGCTTGCACATGATTGGAAGAAAGGAATCAGCAGAGCTTTGCCTCATTTCAGAGCTTACCATCTGATATAAGGAAACTGCATTTGCAGTGCACCTTGAGTAAATCAACCCCATTGCCATGATAGTACTAATTTCTTCTCAAGGTTTGAGTTCTGGGTAAATCATGCCAATAAGTGGACATAACAGAAGCATGAATGGTCAGAAGTGCAGCCAGAGATGAGCATGAGCAGTGAGGAAAAAATAATTTGAACATATATATATATATATAGTATATGTATATTTAGAGAAAATATGGGGGCTAATTTTGTTCAGCCTAAAATAATACTTGGGACATTCGTCCAATAAATGTTTTATAAATAGACCTCTAAATGTAATTTTTTTCACTGGAATCATTGACTTAAAATGATTCTAAAGGTTCTTTTTTTTGTGTAAAATAACAAACATGTCCACTGGCCGCTGGCTATCCCCGCTTCAGTCGATGCTGAATACGGCCGCCAGGCTCATTCACCTTTCCAACCGCTCCATCTCCACCACCCCCCTCTGCCAATCCCTCCACTGGCTTCCGATTGCGCAACAGATAAAATTCAAAATCCTAACACTGACGTACAAAGCTGTCCACCATACTGCCCCGAACTACATCACTGACCTAATATCCAAGTACCACCCAGCACACACACTCCGCTCCTCACAAGACCTCCTTCTCTCTAGTTCCCTGGTCTCCTCCTCCCATGCCCGCCTCCAGGACTTCTCCAGGGCATCACCCATACTCTGGAACTCCCTGCCCCAACCCATCAGATTATCACCTACTCTCCTCTCCTTTAGGCGCACCCTGAAAACCCACCTCTTCAGGGAAGCCTACCCCACCCCCTGCTAACTTGCCAACCTCCTCCTCTCTTCCTACCACCCCCATCCCCCACAGCTATCTCCTCCTGTGCCACCATCCCCTCCCTCCTAGATTGTAAGCTCCAAAGAGCAGGGCCCTCAATCCCCTCATGTTTTGCATTGTATTGTTGTTGTTCTGTCACATGTTCTGTCCCCCTTTGTAATGTACAACGCTGAACGAACTATTGGCGCTTTATAAATACTGTATAATAATAATAATAATGTCTACACTTAACTGCTATGTGCAATGGTTTTGCACAGAGCCGCCTGGATCCTCCTCTTCTTGGGTCCCCTGCAGGCTCTCCTGACCTCTCCCTCGTGTCGGTGCCCCCACAGCAAGCAGCTTGGCCCCGCCCCCTTCCTCTCCTCATTGACTGACTGGCTGTGATTGACAGTAGCGGGAGCCAATGGCTCCCACTTGCTGTCTCAGCCAATGAGGAGGCAGAGAACCGTGACAGTTGAGGCTGTCATTCACATCGCTGGAGCTTGATGAGGCTCAGGTAAGTATTGAGGGGGCTGGGGGAGCTGCTGCACACAGAAGGTTTTTTTGCCTTCAAGCAAAGAATGGATGAAAATAAAAAAACCTTCATCCTTTACAACCACTTGAGGCTTAGGATGAATGTCCTGCTCACCAGAGGCACAAAGTTTTAAACCACCCGTCATCATCTGTTCAATTATGCTTATGCCACAAGTGAAGATGACAAGGTCTCCATTGCAAAGTAAGATCATTTTATAAAGGGTCATAAAGTATTGAACTGTGCTCATCTGTTCTGATGAATACAGTAAAAAGCATTTGAATAAGATATATTTCTTGTATCAGCAACAGGAATGTCTCACAACAAGATACAAAATAATTTTCCTTTGTGAACCACTTGACCTCCAGAAGATTCCTGACCAGGCCATTTTTTGTGTGATACGGCACTGCATTACTTTAAAAATTGTAGCGTCTACAAACTATGGGATATAAACTGGAATTTTTTTGTATACTAGTAATGGCGGTTATCAGCGACTTTTAGTAGGACTGCGAAGTTTCGGCAGATATTGTTACACTAACTGACACTTTGTGGGAACCAGTGATACTAATACAGTGATCAGTGCTAATATGATTTTCCAAGGAAAATATTTGAAAACTAAACTGAGTCAGCAGCTGTGGCCACTTATCAGTGTATTCTGACAGCTGCAGGTGCTGCTGTCAGAATGCATTGTCCCTGTGGGCAGATTCCTCCCTCAATGTCATTTGTGTGGATGGAGGAATCAGCCTGCTGACTGAAAAAAAAATGTCTATGGCCAGCCTTAGATCTTGCCACATGGAAGAAAATAGCAAATGTCCAAATCTAATTAAGTCCAGGTCAATTATTTGCCCAATAATGACTGGCTAGAGGTATCTTTTGGTGTTCACAGGCATGACAATCATTGCTAAAATCATGCAGATCTGGTAACAGTTATTTTATGTGCCCAGTTATTTATAAAATGTTAGCTTTGCATGAAGATGTAAAAGTGTTATGATAACTATCCCAAACATTAAATATTTTTTTCCCTTCATACAGATATCTACAAAAGAGTCAGTTTTTCAAAGTGGCTGTATTCCATTTTATCGCTCTACAGCAGCATGTGGAACTGGAGATCAAAATGTTGTGCTAGGAATTCCTTCTACTGAGAATACAAGAGAACAAATAAACACTTTAACTTCATTTATTGACGCATCTACAGTCTATGGCAGCACAGTAGCTTCAGAAAAAAAAGTAAGAAACTATTCCAGTGAGGAAGGACTACTAAGAGTAAATACTCAATATTCTGATCATGGAAGAGACTACATGCCATTTGTAGATGATATTCCATCACTCTGCCTTCAAGATCCTCATTCTGTTTCTGAAGAAAGAGTTGAATGTTTTCTTGCTGGTGAAAGCAGATCCAATGAAGTTGTATCTTTGGCAGCAATCCATACACTGTGGGTGAGAGAACACAATCGCTTGGCCAAAGCTTTAAAGAACCTTAATTCTCACTGGAGCTCTGAAACAACATACCAGGAAGCTCGGAAGATTGTTGGTGCATTACATCAGGTTAATATATATCAATCACTGGCAGGAAATGTGATTTTTGAGGGCTTTAAATTGAGTTCCTATTTCTTTGATTGGTCTTATTATTTGTGAATTTTGTATGGTGGTAACCGAAAAAAGCTACGTCCACAACACTTGATTCATAGTGATAGAAACATGTAGGTGTTGGCAGCTCTGTCCACAACACTTGATTTGTAGTGGTAGCGCACAAGGTTCATAATTCATAAAGGAAAAAGGTGCCTATTAAAATGTATTGACAAGGTAAAATTCAAAATGAAAAAAAAACATATTTAGTAATGTGCTTACAACACAGTGCCTCTGCTACACTGAAATTCCATGCTGGACAACAGAGCATATCTCCTGTATGCTATGGATATGGGCAGAGGGGAGGTGGTCTGAAGTCTAGCAAGGTGAACTACAGGCAAGGCAGTTAACACTGCTTTGCATCAGAAAAACTGTGTTGTCATCTTACTACAGGAAGTTAGAAGCGGACATGATTTCTGGCCGGATTAACAGGTATTTTCTGTATTTGCACCTTTTGTAAAGACAAAACATGGAAAAGCAGCCAATGCTTTAGTCTGCAATTGATCTGGATTTTTTTTGATGAGTCATATAAATTCTGTGTTAAGTGCTATTGGTAATGTCTGTAAATATTTATTATTCAGTAAAGCTGAAAAGAAAAAAAAAAAAATAACAAAACATCCTTTTCCCATGATCAAGAGGCTATATAGGATTTTCTATATCTGCTCCATTTAGCATACAACTCTAAGTTTACTCTATGATTAGTCCAGTGTGTGTGTGGTATATATATACATTAAGAAAAAACCAGTGGTTGAATGAAAAAACTAATAGATCCCTGCATCAACACAATAATGTGTGATGCAGAGATCTCTTCCGCTAGGCTATTGTATTCTTATAGGGGGGACCCCCAATGGCTGCAAACACATCAAATACTGATTTTCCAGCAAGACCGTTCAGTAGAAACCAGTGAGTACATGTGTTATGGGCTTTAGAGAAGTGGAATAAAAGTATCTCCACACCTTCATTTGCATGTGTCTCTATTGGTTCATTACTAGCAAACAGTGAGGCATATGAGCTTTCAACCAGGAAAGCTGGCTAAAATTTGTATACTGCTATGACCTACGATTTAGGTCTACTATCTAGTGGCACTAGCTGTAAAGGTAGGGGTTTTATTCCACTTTAGGCTTACTTTAGATGTAGTGTGCAACAATACTTTAAATACTGTATGTTACTACTATGCCAGATTTTCAGTAATAGAAAGCATCAATTATATTACAAAAGACCTAAGAATGCATTTAAAAAAATCTGCAATAAACTCAGCAGTGTGCATGTGTATACTGATAATTCACTACTAGATGAACTCTGTTGTCTTTTAAGGTTTAGAGTTGCAACTTTTATTTTTTAACCACTTGCCTACCAGGGAAATGTTTTAACTGTTTGCACACATCAAAATCTGCATTTTTTTCTAGAAATTACTACTAAAAAAAAGACCACACCCCCCCAAAAAAAATATATTTTCTGAAGGCGGAGGCCCTGGAGAAAAAATATTCCAATTTGTTATGACTTGTGATATTTGTGAAGTCATTTGTCATCCACATTTTCAAGACAAAATACACTGAAATGAAGTTTAGTGCAAACATACACAATACCCATTATTTTGTAATTAGAAAAGATCGGGTTGTGTCAAGTAAATCAATAACAAATAACAAATATGTCTAATGTGTTTTAAATTGTGCATGCTTATGGAATTGCACCCAAAATTATTCATAGGTGAAGATTTAAGAGCCTTTACAGGTCGTCAGTTTAGAATTAACTATGAATTATGGCCCGAGAACTATTGCTATCACTCTGACATTTGCGATGAAACCTCATATGTGTGGTGCAATTGATGTTTACATACACATGCTCACCCTATGCTGCACTTTTTATATGAGGGGGGGGGGGGTGCTTTAAAATTTTTATAAATAATTTATATATATTTTTATACAATTATTATTTTGTAAACATTTTACATTATTTTAACTTTATTGCTATAGAGATATTGGGGGTCTATTAGACCCTCAATATCTCCCCTGCCTTTCATTACTATAGTAGCCGAGGAACAACAGCTGTGACCCCAGAAGCAATGTAATACATGTCGCTTCTGGGGTCAACAGTAGTAGGAGGGATCAGGGAATGGATGCTCCCCCATTTCCTCCTGCTTTCACCAGGGAATTAGTTTCACACGGGTATCATGGGTACCCCTGGCAGAGCTCCATAAAAAACGCCTAATCACTTTTATCAGAAAGCACTTTGGCAGCTAATAAAGCTGGTACCAAGCTCCCAGCTTGAATTACTATTTGTCTACCATGATGTTTATAAATGTAACTTGGCAGACAAAATGTTATTTTTTTTTTGCATCTCTGTGCAATTGATCTCCAGCATTTTTCATTCACTTCTTGTCTATACTGTATGTCTCAGAGCCAGCTGAACATTGTTGATCTGGACCGGTTTCCTGAAGCTAACTGTGGACCATGCTGATGCAATGTGTGCCAGCACAGCTGCTTGTAGTCAGTGGCATATCCAAGATATTGGGTGCCATTTGAAGAGGGGTGTTGCACAGGGGTGGCACTAGGGGGGTCCAAGCATCAGATTAGCACCCTTATTTCATCCCAGAATCACCAGTGTCCTCTATTTAATTGCTCCACATAACATCATGTTTCCATGGTGTAGGCCATCGACCTGCCCACAGCCTAGAAATGCATGCCACTGATCTGGGGGGGGGGGGAGCATCCAGCTTCATCCCCAGCTTTAAAACATAAACAAAACTCTGGCTCCAGAAATGCTTGCCATCCACCTCTGCCATACTGCTGTACTAATTATAAATTAGGACACTATTATGAGGGAACTCTGAGCACTCTCATGCGTGGGGGCTCTGAGGAAACTGATATGAGGGGGCTCTGATGGCACTGATGTGAGGGGGCTCTGAGTACTCTTATGTATGGGGCTCTGAGGACACTGATGTGAGGGGACTCTGAGAACACTGATGTTAGAAGGGTTCTGAGGACATTTATTTGAGAGGGGCTTTGAGGATTGGAATATGAGGAGGCTCTGGGGACACTGATTTGACAGGATTCTGATGTGAAGAGGGCTCTGAGAACTTTGATGTGATGGAGGGCTCCTGATGTGAAAGGGTGTTCCTGATGTAAAGGTGGGACTCTGATGTAAAGGGGGGGGGGGCATATATGAAAGGGGGGACTTGAATGTGAAAGGGGATCTGACTTACAGAGACTGCAGAGACAGGGGAGAGCATCATTTTGATGTTCACAGCAATGCAGCATGAGCGATGCTAAGTCAACTGGCCAGAGACTGGAGTGACAGCTGTCACACAGTGCAGAGGTGAATTAGTCTGTACTTACAGCACTCTGAGTTAGTGAATCAACCTATCACTATTATGGACATATTGCTAAATAAATGATTAACAAATTGACTTGACTTTTGAGTTTGATTATTATGGTAACCTTATCTAAAATAGCAGTGTCGGATGTTTGGACAGGGCCGCAATTTCAGTGCTTACTATAGCATGCATAATAGGGACACCACATGACAAGAACTGCTCAAGCAGGGACCTTAATGACAGGACGAACAGAAATTCTTTTAAAGAAATCTACAGATTTACACGTTGAAAACAATCTTTAACTTAAAAGTTTGATTTTAAAAAAGCTGTTTGTGTGATACTGTACATACAATAATTGCTACAGTAAATTGTAAACTATTAAAAAAGAATACATATTTTACTGAACAGATTGTTTGTAAAAATATATGTCAAAATACGTGCTTGTAAACAGAAGGCTCTATATACATTTTCCAATGTTGTAAAAGTATTCTTCCTTTCTCTAAAGAGCAGTTTCTGTGTATTGCTTTGTCAGTAAAAAGAATATAATATGAAAAGGAATTCCGTATGGAACCTTGATGATATAATGAAGAAGGCATCTAGACAGAAGAATTTTGTTTGAATATAAAACATATAAAAAATAGACATCAGGCAAGAAGAAATAAGGAAACAAGAAGAAAGACTTTGTGTTTTTGTTACAGATAGGAATTTTTAGGAGCTACACTGTTATTTCTACAGGAAATGCTTTATAGAGTTAAAGATGCAAGGACCAATTCACAAACATCTGATCACTTGTTATCGATTCTTACAAATGAATTCCAGCCTTGCATTCTCATTCTTACACTGTTATTCGGGCTCCTCTCCATTACTGAAATCACTGACTATGATTACACTGCACACTGTGGGCTCATGTAGCCCACCTCATTTCCTGTATGGAGGATATCCAGGATCATTTAGCTCCTTCCTCCACAGTTAAAAGGCTCGTGACCCTCCACTTTGATTCACTTTTTTCAGTTCTTTTAATTGAGCTCACATCTGTACAACTGGCAGCAACTAAGATTTCATAGAAATGGACAGATGGTGAGAACACATTTAGGTCCAGAAAATACATCTATATTAACCATCACTATTGTATCACACTTTCTATATTATCCTTAAAGTATAACTAAGGGCAAAACTTGTTTTTCTAGTTTTGGATAGAGTGGAGAGAAATGATATACCTGTCATGTTTATACTGCTGTCTGTGCCCCTGTTAGGAAACTTCCTCCTGTCTGTTTATCATGTTTACTGTTATTACCAAAAATGAAATTCCAAATGTTGGGTTGTCTAGTGACCCTGGTGCAAAATAAAGATTTCCTCGTTGTGGAGGAATATCCTCTCACTTCCTATTTTGGCTACCAGACAGGAAGTGAAGGGAAATCACCTTAATGGGACACAGATGGCAAAAAAATCAGACAGGGGTTGTAACCCATCCTTACTCTATCCACAAGAGGAAAATCTTTGTCCTAAAGGGTATCCTCCAAAAAGAGCATTTAAGTGCCCTCAGATGTTTGATGATAGTCTCCTAATCTAGGCCTTTTGGACTGTATACAGTCACGGTCCAATGTCTACAGGGCAGCTCATAACAGCCTTATTAGATTTTCCTTGGGGAACAAAATATATGGGTAAACCCAGTCACTAGTGTACCTGGTGCTGGGCCTGTCTGCGTTTATCTCACTCTCCCTCTTCTACAGCTCAAAACTTAAGAGCCCATGGAAATAAAGCAGATGTGTGGCATTTGCCCTTAGTATGTTAGGAGGGAGCTAAGACAACTGCACATTGGAGAGATTGCCTTAGAGATCCCTTATTTTTGACAAATCACAGCAGTGAGTCTCAGTGCCTCCGTAAGTCGCAAAACACAGCATTTCAGGAAACCTAAGTCCAAGACACTTAAGGCATATCACTGTACTTTATTTAACCATAAATGTTAAAGGCTAAAAACAAATAAAACACATCCAGCTATCCCTATGCTCAATATATGGTGGGAATGCCCTCCCAATCCATGCATCCTGGCTGCAAATCCTTAACCTTTTTGTAAGCTTATGGAAATTCATATCCCACTTTCTCCTACATTACTACTCCTCTCCATGATTAGTGGACCCATTGGGGATGATTTACTAAAACTGGAGAGTGCAAAATCTGGCGCAGTTCTGCATAGAAACCAATCAGTTTCCAGGTTTTGCCAAAGGTTAACTGAACAAGCTGAAGTTAGAAGCTGAATGGCTGCAATGCACAGCTGCACCAGATTTTGCACTCTCCAGTTTCAGTAAATCAACCCTATTAAGACTGCAAAAAAATGTTCTCAGACACTTTTTAGCAGTGGCCAGGATGGAGGTAACCTACTATTGGAAAACAACTACAACACCTCCCCTTGTGGAATGGGTGAACAAACTTGACTCCATTAGGGGACTTGAGGGTCTCCTATCGAAGGAAAATCATAGGGAAGAACAGTTCCAAAAAAACTTGGACCTTGTGGTTGATGTTCCATTTTTCATTGGTGTTTTAGGATTGAATCAGGAAAGATAAGCCTTCAGTATCCAGTAAGCCATGAGAAAGTGAATACCCTTCCATACCACCTTTTGTTTTCTTCCTCCTTTTTTACTCTTTTTTCTTAATTGCTTTCTTCTCCACCATCTCCCTTTCCTTTATGGGACACCAGCCTCATTTGCTCAATTACTCTTTTACTAACAGGCAAACTTATCAGATGAATAGTTTCACCTGCTATTTTCCATCTGACTAGTCTAACTGAGCCAGTATTTCTACTATACTTTGTACTTGTTACTTTTGTATGTAAAATTGTAAATAGAAACGAGATTGAACTAAAACACTTTCTGCCAACTAAGGTTTCTTGTGCAAAGCGCATGCCTTCTCAAGGCACCTTAATAAGCAAGCCATTGCTCTTGTGCTGGTGACTTACATTCTCCTGATCTTTCATTAGCGACGGATTGAAGACTTACCCATCCAATCAGCAAAGTAGCAACAAATGTAAGCAGGTGAATATTTTCACAGTTTCACAGTTTAGCGATTCTGTTGCTGGTGGAGTCTCCACAGCCACAAGATCACTAATGTGACGTGGGCCTAATCCCCATATTTTGCACAATCAGTCCTTGCAATCAGAATCCTAAGCAAGTTTTAACTTGAAGCATTTGCTTGTAGCCTATTTATGTGATATATATGAAATATGCCCTTTAAGAAATGCAAACAGCATGGCAATATTGGTTTTCTATTTTTATTTCTGCTGGAGTAATAACATTTTAAATTTATCTTCCTACAGAATTTTTCCATTGTTCTATACAAGCATGCTAACAATATCCTTTCATTGTTTTTAAGAAAAAAAAAATACATGCTCACAAAGACATTCAGCTGTTTCAGAATGTATTTCAAAGGGTGCAAATCTGATTAAACATCTGTACAGTGTTCCATCGATCTGCGCCTGGGAACACACATTAGATATTCTTCTGCAGAACAAAACCAGATAAGCAGGCTGGATATTAGATTAAAAGCAATAGCTGTTGCTGCAGAAATTCGATGCCCAAGATAAAAAATGGGATGGCTAATAGTACAAAAACATGGAAATGTTAAGTCATCCAGCGGTTGTTTGGCAGTAACTATAGGGTCAGGGATTCTATTATACACCACTTTTTTTGTCTTCAATTTCCAGTAGTAACAGCTGGACAGAAAGGGAGTGCGGCAGTCCGGGTCATCAAGGCTAATAGAAAGTAAAAGAAAAAAAAAACAAAAACATAAGCTTGGAAAGTTTTCACAGCAAGTCTTGATAAGTGACTGGCTAACAGCACAAATCTAGAATTTTGACAAGAAACAATAAAGATTGCTTACCAATGTTGTTATTGTAATCGGGAATAAGATGTTCATCAGTAAGCTGGGCTCTATGTGCTGGTGACAAGGAAACAATTTTGCTTTATGCAATTGGGGAAAAGAACAATCCTCTATGGGTTGGCTGATTAGAATGCATGAGGAGAGGATTTACAGATAAAACAGGAGAATTGTGATGAGGTAGCAGAGGACAAGAGAGTGAGTGGCTTAGGTAATGATGAGCACGAATTCCATAATTGAGCTGTGTACGTAAAGGCAGTTACAGACTTATTACAGTGGGCAGAGCTGTACAGGTCCTCAGACAGAAAGCAGTCCCAGTCAGAAATCAGCTTTCAGTCCGCTCGTGGCAAGATAATAAAAATGTGTCTGTTATTAAACTGACCTATCTCTGTTACATAAATCAAAGACGAATTTCCTAGATGGCAGAAAACAATATATATAGTCCCAATGAAAGGAAGGAAAGAGGGAAGAAAGTAGAAATGTCTAACTACAAATATTTTATGCTTGTGTATTATTTTTAGATAATCACCATTCGAGATTATATTCCTAAAATCGTTGGTTCATATGCTTTTCATCAGTATGCCGGCACCTATCAAGGATATAATGAAAACACAGATCCTTCAATTTCAAATGTGTTTTCAACAGCAGCATTTCGCTTCGGCCATGCAACCATACCTCCCATTGTGCACAGACTGGATTCTCAATATAGAGAGAGCCAACTTTATCCAAATCTTCTACTGAGTGAAGTTTTCTTTCGGCCCTGGAGGATAATAAAAGAAGGTAACAATAGTCTAGCAAATGATGCATGTTCTGGGACTGCGATCTTCATGCTGGCTTTACTACTTAAGGAATCATTTAGAATCATATGTGCTGATTTCATTAGATACATGCTATACCCAGTTCAGAGTCTCCCTAGATACTGAGCAATGATAATGAAGACAGCCCTAGAATTTGAACCTTCCTAAAGAAACCTGCAATAGCAGTTTAACAAATCAGTATCTTGGCATGTATCATCTAAAATGGAACTCCAATATTTTTTTATTTTCTTTTTGGGGGGGGGGGGGTGTATTTTGGAACCTTATTATTAGCTGTCGTCCTAATGCAGAGATTTTGGTCACTTGTTATATCACCAGAAAATAAATTCAAGAGACATCTGCAGTAGGGATACAGACAGCAGTAAAAACCCAACATGGATTCTAAATCTTTTCCAGTCTATTCAAAACAAAATTACAAAGATGCAGTTTGGTTTTAGACCACAAGGTTACTATACTTTAGAAAGGAAAGGCTAATACTGAATTAGCTTACAATATTCTTCTTACAACTGCTTAGGAAAGGCACATACATAAACCAAGAACAAACATTTGGCTGGCTTTCAACTTTAAGGTGTCAAACCTATACACAAATAAAAATGTTGGGAATAGAAAAAATACTGAAGTCTTTCCTAACTACCATAAAATGCCTCAATATTAAAGAGAACCTGTCACTTTATCATTTAGATATGCCCCTATTTTAAAGAGAACCTGCCCTTTATACTGTAATTTAGATATTGTTATAAGAGTGAAATAGACTGTTGACACTTTCTTGACTCTAAGGCATCTTTATAAAGCAAAGAATATGACAATCAAAAAACATTCAATGGAAGTGAATTGTCCTGGTACATGTGTTTAAAATGACACTGACAAATTTATCAACAGTAAATGTTTAGTAAATGTCACATTTGCTGCTTTATAAATATGCCTCTAATAGTTGCTCTGCAATTCCCTGTTTCTAGGGATTCGCGCCACTCTAGAATACCAGTGGTAACCACTTCAAATACCTCTCCATTGCTTTCCTAAACTCTTAGTAATAACACAAAATAAATGGGGCATAAAAATGACACCCGAAAAACACACCAAAACCTTCTTTAAAAACTCCATCCTTCCCTCTTCTTTTACAACATTATAGGGATTTTTAAAGCTCAACTCCAGGTTTCGTGTTACTGTAAAGTGGTATTAAACCCAAAAGCAAAGATTTATTATATTGCAGCTTACCAATTCTTAGATGTGATGGCTGCGGGGGAGGACTGACCATTCGAGCACTCGGGCACTGCCTGGTGGCCCAGGGTCAGTAGGGGGCCCCATGAGATGCCCCTGGTACCTTTCATAAGCTTTTTTGGATGTGGTTTGAGTGTGGACAAGGACACGGGGGCCCCATGAGTTGTCAGTCCGCCCCTGGATGGCTGCATTCGTTTTCTTTTCAAGGCTTTCTTTCCCTTATTTGCACACGATGATCTGGCCAGTTTGGCTGTTGTTTTTCAAAAGAATAAGCTCTCATGCAAATGTAGCAATTATAGGGATCAGACAAACCATTTACCACTGATAGGGGTGCTTGCAATAACCATCTTTCATTTATTTATGAAAAACCTTTACCCTAAAAGGAAAAAATATTGCTGCTTATAAAATATTAGCTGGAGTTTGGCTTCAATTTGTTTAGTGTATCTAATTTGCTAGCACCTCTAACACTTCTACTAACGCACTATTACAACTGAGTGGTGGGGGGGGGGTTACTACTGAGCAGGAGGGGTTGGTGGGTATTTGGGAATGTACTACTGAGCAGGGATGTGCTATTGAGACAGGTGGAGGGGAAATTGGGGGTAGGTGGGGAATGTACTACTAAGCAGATGGGGTACTTCTGAGCAGGTAGTTGGGGGGGTATGGGCAATGCACTACTGAGTGGGGAGCAGAGGAGGAGGGGTGAGGAAGCATTACTAAGTGGGGAGCCAGGGGGTAGTAATGTACTACAAAGTGGGGGTGAGGGAGGATGGTATAGAGCAGGGGTCTCCAAACTTTCTAAACAAAGGGCCAGTTTTATATCCTTCTGGTTTTTGGGGGGCAGGACTGTGGTCATCGGGATCAGAAATTGCCCTGGCATCAGTGGGAGTAAACAATGTATCTTTGGTTATAGGGGGAGGAATAGCACCCCATCGTTGGTGTCACTGGGAAGAATAGTGTCCCCATCGTTGGTATCAGTGGGAGGAATAGTGCCTCATTGTTGGTGTCAGTGGGAGGAATAGTGCCCTATCATTCATGTCAGTGGAAGGAATAGTGCCCTATCATTGGTGACAGTGGGAGAAATAGTGCTCTATTGTTGGTGTCAGTGCAAGGAATGGTGCTCCATGATTGGTGTTAATGGGAGGAATAGAGCCCCATCATTGGTGTCAGTGGAAAGAATAGTGCCCTATCATTGGTGTCAGTGGGAGGAATTGAGCTCCAACATTATGATGTCAGTGGGAGGAAAAGTGCCTTATCATTGGTGTCAATGAAAGGAATAGTGCCCGGTTGTTGATGTCAGTAGCAGGAATGATGCCCCACTGTTGGTATCAGTGGGAGAAATAGTGTCTTGAATCAGTGGGAGGAAAAGTACCCTAGGGGCCAGATAAAAGCAAGCAAAGGGCTGCATCTGGCCCCCGGGATGCAGTTTGGAGACTACTGGTATAGAGAATATACTACTGAATGGGTGGTGTACTACTGAGTGCAAGGGAGATGTGGGGTGGTGAGGAAGGGGGAATGTACAACTGAGTGGAGGGATACTACTGAGCAGGGGCGGTGCTGTGGGGAATGTACTACTGAGTGTTGGGAGGGCTACTGAGAAGGGGGGAAGGGGGCTACTACTGAGCGGTGTCTACTACTGAGCTTGGAAAAATGCTGAGCGGAGGATCTGCTGAGCCAGGAAACTGCACAGCTGGAAATATACTAAACTGGGGATACTACTGAGCTGAGAAAATGATGAGCTGGAAATCTGCTAAGCCAGGGCACTACTGAGCTACCACCCCCTCCCCCTCCAAAGATCAGATACCACACCAACACCTAACCATCCATCAACTCTTGTGACTTTCTCATCAGCACTTCACATTTATTGATTTCAAGTACTTATATAGCGCCATCAATTTACGCAGTGCTTTACATATATATTCACATCAGTCCCTAACCCTCAAGGGGTGTACAATCTAAGGTCCCTAACTCACATTCATACATACACATACTAGGGCCATTTTAGACAGGATCCAAATAATCTACCAGCATGTCTTTGGAGTGTGGGAGGAAACTGGAGTACACCCACTTTGGCACAGAGAGAACATGCAAACCTCCAGGCAGGTGGTGCTGTAGTTGAGATTCGAAACAACAACCCTAGTACTCCATGGTGGAAGTGCTAACCATTAAGCCACTGTGCTTGACATCACTTCCCCTTTAAAACTAACGGAAAACCAACACACACAAGGCATTTGCCAAGCTTCATTAAAGCTACAAAAAAGCATCTCAAAAGCATCAAAAACACATCAACAATGCTTGTTAAAGAGATAGTCACTTGAATGTGTTACTGATCAACACAAGTGTAAACGATGCCCTAAAGTGTATTTACAGTCATATTTGTGCACCCCCACTATTTGCTATGTGTTCCCTTTCACACAGCATACTGTAAAATAATTGTTTAAAAATCTTACCTTTCTAGTTGTTCTTTGGGCAGCTTTATACATAGGACATATAGCATACATAAGCAGCTTGATTTGTTTAGAATAGAATAGACAATATTTTCAATTTTCTTAACATGCCTGTGCCTTATGCTTGTGTTTACATGGGCTTCAAAGTGTACCCAAACATAGCTATGCACAGCCATTCATATCTATGAGCAGATGTATACAGCATGTGGGCTTTCTGGGTGGGGATACTCTTGAATTTATATTGCATGGGCTCTGGTGATGAATGCCTGCTAATAACAGTAATCATGCTGTTCATTTGCAAGCACTGTTAAGAAATGTATGTTCCTTGTTAGCATTTCTACCACCGAAACACCCTGAAAGTTTCAATGTTCCTTGGACAGGGCAAAAAATTGCTTTCTAGCCCCCAGGATGACAGTGCTGAGGCCTGACAAATGACCACTTGGGCTCAACGTTCTGAATTGTGGGAGTGTCACATGTTCCACCATTCTGTTAGGTACTGAGCTTTTTTGGGGGGCAGTGGATACATTAGATAGACTAGTGCAAGCTCTGTACGATGCCTGGTAGAAGACTGAAGCATTAGTCCCCATAACTGGGACTCTGTACAAGCTGCTTTATTTCATCCAGCTCCAGTAAATAGAAAATGTAAATTTATCTGCTTTCATACTCTTATGCTAAAAAAAAGCCTGCGTGTCTATTAAAATGTGAGACTTTCCGCTTCTTCCAGAATGAACATTGCTTGATGAGAAATCAATCCATCTGCAGAGATTTTTTTTTGTTGCAGACAGACATATTTTCTTCTTCTTTTTTTTGTGAAGTTGATGTATAAGTATAATAGACTGACATGCATTAATTATATCTTTGTGTTATATAGTTTTGTTGTCCATTTGCACTACATATGATTGTAATCCTGTTCACCTCTGTAGATAGATTGATTAACTGTCAAGCAATGTTCAGTCATGAAGTGTCGAGTTATGTTTAACCACTTGCCTACAGGGCACTTTTACCCCCTTCCTGCCCAGGGCAATTTTCAGCTTTCAGTGCTGTTGCACTTTGAATGACAATTGCGCGGCCATGCAACACTGTACCCAAACAACATTTTTATATTTTTTTAAGACAGATAGAGCTTTCTTTTGGTGGTATTTAATCTCCACTAAGTTTTTTTATTTTTTGCTAAACAAACTAAAAAAGACTGACAATTTTGAAAAAAATTTTTTTTTCTTAGTTTGTGTTATAAAATTTTGTAAATAAATAATTTATTTCCTTCACTAATGTGTGCTAATGAGGCTACAGTGATGGGCACTGA